ATGACCGTTGCACATTTTTTGGCATTTTAGGGCCAAAAAATTAGAATTCCGTCCGATTTTCAGATTTTCATGTGCTATAGCACACGACATATGGAACAATAGCCACCACCTCGCCATGACCATTCCTCATTTTTTGGCGTTTTAAGGCCATAAAATTGAAATTTCACCCGATTCTCAGATTTTTGTGTGTTATAGCCCACACATTGTACATGGGCTCGGGCCACTGGACCCGGACCTCCTAAATTTCACATAGAATATGACCTAAAGAATAATAACCACCTTCTCATCATGACCGTTCCACATTTCTTTTGGTATTTTAGGGCCAGAAAATCAGAATTCCGTCCGATTTTCAGATTTTTATGTGCGCACACGCCTTTTGCATGGGCTCGGAACACCGGACTTGGACCGCATAAAATGTTTTCGGACCACCAAAGACAACCTAAGGAACAATAATCACCACCTCACTATGACCCTTCCTCATTATTTTGGGTTTTAGGGCCATAAAATAGGTATTCCGCCTAATTCCCAAATTTTTATGTGTTATAGCCTACGCCTTCTGCTTGGGCCCGGGCCATCAGACTCGGATTGCCTTAAATTTTGTCGGACCATCAAAAAAGACCTAAGGAACAATAGTCACCGCCTCTCCATGACCGTTCCTCGTTTTTTGGTATTATAGGGCCATATAACTAGAATTCAGCCCGATTCCCATATTTTTGTATGCAAAAGCCCATGCCTTCTGTATGGGTCTGGGCTACCAGATTCGGACCGCCTAAAGTTTTGACGGGATATCAAAAACGACCTAAGGAACAATAGTCACCTCCTCACCATGACTGTTCCTTATTTTTTGGCGTTTTAGGGCCATAACACTAGGAGTATTGTTTGATTCCCAGATTTTTGTGTGCTATAGCTCACACCTTCTGCATGGGCCCGGGCTTCTGGACCGGGACTACCTAATATTTTGCGGTATCATAAAATGACATAAGAAATAATAGTCACCGCCTCATTATGACCATTCCTCATTTTTTGGCGATTTAGGGCCATAAAACTGAAATTCCCCCCCCCCCCCCCCCCCCC